CCCCCTGCCATGGGCAGGGACACCTTACACTAGACCAGGTTTCTCAATGCCCCAACCAACCTGGCCTTGGACACTTAGTTTCAAGCTGAAAACCACCGAGAACAGGATGAACATAAGGATACTGTGCCTATCTCCAGTTAAGCTGGAGCTAACCAGTGTTAGCTGCATGCTCCAAGCCCATCACTGAGAGGCTCTCTTGCTTTGCAGTGTGCAGTTCCATCCATAAATCAGGTAGTCCAGGGAGGAGGAATCCTCCTTTCCCAATGTGTCTGGCACAAAAAGCAGCACATGAGCCTTGTGACGTGCCAGAGTTTCTTAGCAGACCATTAACTCAGCCAGGTGTTGCCGGTACCTGTGAAACAGGGATGGCAAAATCTCTGATGAGTGCTTTGTGCTTTGCCTACAAAGCTGGTCACTGTGGTAAGATGTTCTGAGAGCCTTAGAACGACCATTCAAGAGGAAAAAAAAAGGGATAATGTATCTGTTTTACCAGGATGTATTTCCTGTATGCAATAAGGACTGAGCCACATGGAGTGAATGTTATCACTTATTTTTAACTCCAGGCTAACTTATTACTGAGTGTCATTCTACTCAGAGTGCTCTTTTAATACTGATTATGCCAATAACTTGAGCAAATAAACTGAAAGTTCCTACAGTTCATTCTTTGGGGAAAGGTCATTCACCTCCTGCTATAAATGGTCCCACTAATGAGGTGGCTTTTTTTTCAGGGGCTGGAGTATACCTCACCTGTTGAACTGGCCTTCACACATGACTCAGGAGCAGAATGAATCACAGCTCCCAGAGCAGGAGGACAGGCAATCTTGTCACTGTATTGCTACGGTTCTTGGAGGAGACGTCTTGAGACAGCAGAGCTGAAAGAAGAAATGTAGCTTCCTCCCTGCTGGGAACTGCATGGTTTTTTTTTCAGGGGCTGGAGTATACCTCACCTGTTGAACTGGCCTTCACACATGACTCAGGAGCAGAATGAATCACAGCTCCCAGAGCAGGAGGACAGGCAATCTTGTCACTGTATTGCTACGGTTCTTGGAGGAGACGTCTTGAGACAGCAGAGCTGAAAGAAGAAATGTAGCTTCCTCCCTGCTGGGAACTGCATGGTTTTGTTACCAGATTTTTTTTTCCTGCTGCACTGGGTTAATTTATAGCTATCTGTAAAGAAAGGTTTATTCATTTATTTCAGTTAGAAAGCTTAAATCCTTGGAAAATTTCAGTGAAGGCTGGTCAAGGAGAGACTGAATGTCAGGTGAGAAGCAGGATGGGATAACTCCTGTATATAAACAGCCTGGAGAGCAGGCTAGAGGAAATATATAACATAATTCAGATATGCTCTTTAGCTTTTGATCATATGCTCCTTAACTTTTGACTTTACAAAGGTTAACAAATAGCACAGACTGCCTTCTTGCTTGAATCTTTTAAATATTAAACCTTCTTCTTGTGTTCTTTAATGGAACTCAGTCCTTAATGTACCTTTATAAACCAACCCATCTATTGGCATCTCCATGGTGTGCCATTGCATACCCTCTATGAATTCCAAAGACAGGACATCCCACTTCTTTAATGTATTTGGAATAACTGATGCATCTTAACACAGTCAGTTGAGATAACCACCAGAGAGAGAGTCTGGGTGACAGGAGGAAACTATTTTAGAAAGACTGGGATGTTCTAGATGCATTGTCCCATATTGTGTAATGACTATTGGATAGGGAATCCAGAGGGATATTGTCATTTTAACAGAAGCTGTACTTGATGGTCTTTCCAGATGATTTTTTCCCCATCTTTAGTTGTATCAATGTAGTACATATCTAAAAACTTTTCATTTGCAGAGTGAGGGGAACATCTATCTTGGTGAGCAACCATGAATATTAAACCTGACAAAAACCAGCATACAAAGCACATGGTGGTTTCACAGCATCACGTGCTGTGCCCTGGCTGGAAAGAGTCCATGTGCAGCTGGGGCCATGCTCCCACATGGCACAGGTCCCTCGCTGGGTTATGCCAACCTTTAGTGCACCAATCCTTCAACTCTGCCTTCTGCAAGTGATGGGTCTTGGATCTCCAAGGGCTTCCATCATGAGGAAGGATTTTTCCATTTAAGTGCTGGAATCTATGCATAGGGCAAAAAGCCATTTTTTTCTGTAATTTCTTGAGAATTCATTTAATGCTACCAAAGTCCACAGATATATAGGAGGATTTGGGACAGCATTGGTGAGTGACTCTTTGTTCCTGAAGTACACACAGTGTACAAATTTTGCAGCTTTTGTTGTGAAAATCCCATTTGCAGAAAGAAAGAAAGAAATGACAAAATTGTTCAGGTGCAAATATAAACTCAAAATGGCAAAGGCAAAATGTCTCCTAGAGAGGTGCTGGCCTCTTCCTTCTTTCTGCCTCCTTCCATACAAGCTTCAAATGCATGAGCTCTCTCATTTGGGACTCCCATGTTGTACCCAAGGTGGGAAGCAACCTCAGAAGGGTCTTGGGTTTCTTCGGAGGGATAGGAGACCAACATCTACAGCTTGGAGTTGCAAAGGCTCTAAGGGCTCATTCCCATCTGTCAGCAGGCAGAGTCACTGCTGAGATGTGTGAGCAAGGGCAGCCATGGAGAATAATATCCTCCATGCTCTCTCAGTTCATCTGGTGGAGCAGTGCTTGCCCACACTGGGATATGGGCAGCAGGGCAGAGCAGCTGTATGGGGCAGGCTGGAGGAGATGGCTTTAGACCTCTCTTTCAGGTTGGAAGATCCAAACTCACCAGAGAATGTCCAGCCCAGCTGTGGGACTCACTGTGTCCTTACTGGGGAAACTGGTGGTGCAGGCAGAGTTCCGGATCCTGCTCAGGCTCTCCACTGGGGTAGACACACTGGCCTGAGAACACTTTGTTTTGTAGCTGTTATGAATGAAACTCATTTGGTTAGTGGGATGTTGATGTAAAGGTCTTAAGTGTAACAGGAGCTTCCCTTAAAATCTTTTACCTAAATGTCCTGTTAATGCACAACAAATACCAATTTTTCTGCTGTGCTGTACCTGGGCAGTTCTGACCTCCCACATCTGGGGAGATTTGGTGGCCGGTCACTACTTTATGGAGCAGTGAAGTACTTCCAGCAGCTTTCCAGCATCCCTGCTGTGCCTGGACACCAAGAGGAGGCCCACAAGTTATGAAACACCTTAGGAGAAAATCAGCAACATGCTTGTCAAATATTCCTGTTCGAGCAAATGATTAGACAGAAGCCTTGCACAGCAAGATTTAACACATTCACATGCCACTTCTTATTAGGGTGTAGCTGACTTATAACTTAATTTCGTTGGCACCAAGACTTTATTTCCTTATTTGTGAGGGGTGATCCATGTGAATAAGCTAAAGGTTACCTGGATGGGAAGGTAATTGGCATACCTAACTGCAGGGAGCAGCTTTACCCGTATATTCTGGAATACAAAGTGAACCACATATTTGAGAGTCCTCTCCTCAAAGAATTGCTAGCAGGTGGTTTTCTGGCAGCAGGGAGCAAGCCTGCATGCCTGGTTGGCTATAAAATGTGAACTTTGAATTGTGAAGACATTGAGAATGGGGGGAAAATAGTAGCAATCATTAGGTCTATAACCGACGGGACAAATGCTTCGCCGAGGAGTCAGCAGCAGCGTTGTTGACACGCCTGGCATGGTGCAACATACTTGTGAGCAGGGACAGTTTCAGACAGCACCAGGCCACATGGCAAAGACAGGTAAAAGTTGAGAGTATCAGCCTGTTGTAAAAGTCTTCATATAATAATTAATGGCCTGTGGGGCCAGAACGTCTGAGGGACGCATGCGTGGTATGGTGTTGTTGACCTGCCAGTGTGTGACAGGTCAGGTGAGGCCAGTGAGCAGAGGGCAGGGGAGAGCCACCTAAACATCTCACCGACTCACAGCAGACAGGCAGGAACCCCCTGCTCAGGGCAAGTCCCACCAAAGGAGGCTGAAGAACTAATTTGGACAAGCAGCCGTAAAAGCTGAATTGATGTCGCTGATAAACGAGGGAATAAAGGTCAAGGAGGAGCTTTCTGTTTCGCTGAAGGATGGGAGACACCCTAGCCTCAATGGCAAGCCAGCTTTGCTTCCTTTTGGAGCTGAGCATTCCACTTCCTCATCTCCACACCTTTATTCTGCCATCCATGGATTGACAGCAGGTAGTCACTGTCCAAAGTATGTATTCTCTAAGGATTGTGGCAGGGGAGCGAAGAGGGAAGCAGCAAGGTTAGCTGGGGAGGGGCTGGCTCATAGCAGCCAAGCTCACATCTGCACAAGGTCACCTCAGCAAGGGGTCCAACCCCAGGCAGCAGTCCCTGTGCCAGACCCACTCTGCTGTCACCCCAGTGGCTCGAGGATGTCTGTACCCTGTCCTGACAGCCCAGACTCACCTTCACAGAAGAAAACAGATACCATAGTTGCAGGGGTACATTAGGTCCCCTCTCTGAATACAGACCTGGAGCAGGGAGGGAGCCAGGTTATCCCTCAACTCCTTAGTTTCTCTCTGTCTTTCCCAGGGGTCTGCATACTGAAGAAACACTGGTGAAGGTGTGATCCATCCCAGCTGCACACACAAATATGAAGTTCTTCTGGATAATCCAATTTTTCCTGATCCAAGGTAGAGTCATGGCTTAGAGGATAATGGTATAGGTGAAGTAGGTCACACGTGCTGAGGCTGTGCCTCTTCACAGACTCTCAGCCACACCAGGCTCAGCAGGACTTGTCTGATTTTATGAATGCCTCACTGGCTGAGGGCAAGGACATACAGATAGTGTTATGGCAAAGGCATCCATTAAAGACCTTAACTTTCTGGAAATATGGTTTCTTCCTCTCCATGAGCTCCTTCTCCTCAGTATACACCAGCATCAGCCTGGCTTAGCCATGGGAAAAGTTGCACCCCAATTCCAGAACTGGGTGTCTTTCCCAGTGTGTATGTCCTGTGATATGGGATTGGCCACACTCATGTGTTGGTTTCTTTGCAGGTACTAAAGCTTTTCTGATGAAAAATGCTAAATCCCAGCTGTGTTTACAAGCCAGCCCTGTAAATGGGAATTTATTGCTGCAGAACTGCAATTCACAGCTAGATTTCCAGGACTGGTCGTGGCAAGGTGATTCTTTGGTGAACCGTGGCACGCAGAGCTGCCTCTCCGCGTCAGGGGCTGACAGTGTACAGACAAGCTTCTGCGTCAGCACGGGCTACACGAGCTGGGACTGCTCCAACTCACTGCTCTCACCTCTGGGCACCAGCCAGGGCTACCTGGTGGCAAACAGGAAAGGAGTCGCTCTCAGTGACATGAGAGGCCTCAAGGCCCAGTGGCAGGATGCCACAGGCAGGAGCGTGTGTGAGGAGAAAGATGGTAAGTACTGCACACCCGGGGACCACTGGAACAGGTACACACTGCTGGGGAAAGTGGAAAGGCACTGTCAGTGTCCTGGGGTCTTTCCATATGGTAGTGTCCTACCATAGTGGGGTCTGCAGCCAAAAATACTCTCCAATTCTCAGTGCATGAGACCAGGCTGCGTGCTCAGGGACGCATTCTGTCTGCTTGGAGAGACATGCTGGGCAACCCTGGGAATGAAGGGAAAGGTCATTTCCAGCCTGAAGGACTGCAGCAAGTGACCATTGCATCTTTCTGCTCTTTCCTCCACAGCCAAGGCAGAGCATGATGGATACTTTCCAGCTGTCCTTGCCAGCACACATGTGTATGAGCACACAACAGGCAACACCTCCCTGGTTCTGGGCATGAACCAGGAAGATCTGGATGAGCTTCTCTGGTTCTTCCGTGAAGAAGACCGTAAGTGCCACTGGCATTTCTGGGTTGAGACACAGTCCTATTAACCCTCCTACCTAATGGAGATGCCCAAGGGAATTACCTGAGGGGATGTTTTACCCTAGACACACAAACTCTCAGTTTTGCCTCTGGAAGAAGCAGGCCATGGGTGAAAACAGGCATGAGGCTTTGCCAAGAAAGCGTCTCCTCCCAGAGAGAGGTTCAGCCTCTGTCCAGGCAGAGCCTGTCAAGAGACCAAAGGTCTGGGATGATCAGTGATTTTGGCAGGGTGGAGAGAGCAGGTTGGTGCCACAACAATCAACTTCAAAGCCACAAAAATCAAGGAGGAGCATGCTGGGTGTCCTCAGGAAATGCCTGATCTGGCTCTGCAGGTCACACTGTGCTATGTTTGCTAATGCTGCCTCTCTGCTTTCCCCCAGCTGCAGCATGGAATTACTCCGTCCTTGCGCTTTCCCTCGCGAGCATGATTTTGGGTCTTCTTCTTCTGACCGTTAACATTGTACGGAACAGGTGAGACAGGAAAATTTGGGAATCTTTTAGCGTGTGGCGGTGTGCTGGAACCCCACCAAGCAGACAGACACGTGGGTTTGGCAGGGCAGGACAAGTCCTGAGTGATGTGGAGAAGACCAAAGGCAAACTACCTTTGAACCGTGTTTCATTATAAAACCTTGCCTGATCCTTGCTCTCCTTGTGTGTCACTTGGAATGAGCCACTTCCTTTCTCTAGGAATTTCAGAGCCCTGGATCCTCACCAGTAAAGGGTCTGCACAGCTCTGCTCAGCCTGACAGAGCTGCTGGGAGGGAAGTGATAACTCTGTGGTGCCAGGTGCCCTTCTCTAAGTACAGGGCTCCTGAAGCATGACTCTCAGCCTTTCCCCATTCTCATTCCCATGCTGTTCTCCTGTTGCTGCACAACAACCTTGCAGCTGAGGAGCAACCTGCTGTTTGCTACAGCACAAAAACTTCCTCAGAGCTTTGTTCTTCATGCAAGAGAAGAGCTAACACTATGAGCTAACACTCTCTCTCTAGTGATGACTGGCTGGATGCTGCTCCTGGCATTGGGGGCTCTGTGCTCTCCAAGTGTGAATTCCACAGATGTGTGTGCTCAAATACTTCAGAGCACTCACCTGACACAGTACAGCTGGCAGGGTTTGCCCATAGCGGCTGGTGTGTCCCCAGGGCCACGGTGCAAAGAGATGACTGACCATCATCAGGGTAGATAGTTGCTCCCAGATGTGGATTGAGATTGCTGCTTCACTCTACGTGTCCTTGTTGTGCCTCCCCTGCAGGAAAAGGAAGATCCTCGAGGACAGAGAAGCAGTGCAAACCGTGCAGCATGCTAAGCTGGATGCCAAGCAAGGCCTGATGCCCATACAGGAATACAGCCAGGCTGAGCTGCAAAAGCAGGAGCTGATGCCCCAGGACCAGAGGGCAGGGGAAGTAGTGGTCCAGTGGAAGGATGGAGCTTTCACATCCCTGTACACAGACATGTCTGAGGAGACCATATAGCAGCAGCTGGAGTCAGAACTTACCTTAAGAAAGGTATCAGAATGTCTCAGTTCATACGGATGGAAGTTTAAAAATGCAGTTTAGCCTGGGGAAAGAAAAGAGTGAAACAAGAAAGCAGCAGAGTTCAGAGTTGCACCTGCAGGAGAGGCTCTGGTCTTGAAGCAAACCCTGGCTCCCTGGCTCAGCCTCTGCCAGCCTAGTCTTCTCCCACCACTCTGTCTCCAGCCTTCCCTCTGGCACCAGCTTCATGCCCTCCCTTGGGGGCTGCAAACAGGTGGGAGCTGAGCCAGGGCAGGAGGTAGGAGGCAGGAGGCTTGTCCTGCAGCCAGCCAGGGAATGCACCCTCACTTTCTGTCAGGAAAACACTGAAGCTAAGGCACTTTTGTCCTTTTCAGAAATCATCTTTATTAAAATACTCTCCAAAGTGGTTGATTGAAATCCTATATTGAATCTCTCTCTGTCAGTAAGATCAAATATATATTTATATGGATATATGTACAAATATACATGTGGATATTTTCCTCTGTAGAGTAACTGCTACTCCAAGCAGAAACAGAGCATTTAACCTGGTAGAGCACTTGAAACCCAGCCCAGCCCTTGGCCCTGGCTCGGGCACAGGTAGAGCTTGGTCTGCTCCAGGATTCCTTTCACACCCTTCACTGGGCACACGTAGAAGCTGTGAAATAATTTAGGACATTTTTGGAAATACACCAGTCTTTTAAACAAAGGCTTTTCAGACCATGTCCTCGTCAGTGAAGCATCTCCTTGCAAAGCCTTTGGGAAGGGACTCTACAGTGTAAAAAGCTGATTAAAAAAGCAGCAATTTTGGTGTGACCTTAGTTTGATGTGTTGGAGTCAGTTTCAGGCCACCTGAGGCCTTTAGTCAGCTGAAACAGTATCTGCACCTTTTTTACTTGGATTTAAAAATAAAAATAAAAATGCCTCCTACTTATTGCTCAGTCGGGAACCCGTGGGATGAACGAGCTGGGTGCTTCCATGCTGGATTAATGATTCATTCACCCTCTCAGGGCTCCTGTCACTGTGTTCTAGGTGCCCAAGCTGGCTTGGGGGCCCTGTGGATGGCCCTTGCCCTCCCAGTGTTGCTCATGGCTCCGGCTCTTCTGGGAGCTGCTGGATCCTCATGGAAAATCAATCTGGTCCTGGTGCCAGTGGCAGGACAGCGTGCAAACACTGTGGCAGTACTGGGCCATGGGGACAAGAGCTGGGACAGGCACAGTGATGCCACAGCCCATTTTAGGCTCTCAGCACCCCACCTGCTCCCACCTGCAGCATGGAGACCAGGGCCATGGTCTGCCTGTGGCTGCTGCAGTGCCCATGAGTCCATCATGGGCGCTCTCGGCCCTTGTGGAGCCAGGGGGATGGGTGAGGGTCTCTCTCCTCCCTCTCCACAGCCCACAGGGATGTGTCCTAAAATATCTTGAAGCCTTTCAGCAGGGTGAGCGTGGGAGCCTTCCTCTTGCTCTGAGCCCGCGAGGACTTGACGGTGACCAGCTTGGCCTGGGCCACCGAGGGGATCTCCTTGTAGTTAACTGTGGAGAGCGTGTTGAAGGTGCAGGTGGCCAGGCCCTGGCGGGTGGGCAGGGCCACTGGCGTGGCCACCAGCGGGCAGGGACGCTCCTCGGCGATGAAGAGTGGCCGGACGGGCAGGCCCCACTCCGCCTG